TTCCCTAAGAAAAGGCAAAAAGAGAGCTATGCATCTTCTCTAGGGCTAAAATTAATGGAAAGTGTTTGCAAGTATCTGAAGATCTTATCTTCAGCCTCTCTTTAGGTATTTTATGAGTGGAAGAAATTAAAATATGCAACACCTATTACTCCTTGCTAATGTGAAAAAATAAATTTATAAAAATAAATGGTCAGTAATATGAAGTCATGGATTGCTAGCAGTTAACACAATCAAATTATGTGCTTTTCTCATCTGATTCTACTACTGTAGTGCTTAATTACCACCCTTAAATCAATAGTTTCTGGAGTTAGGTATTATACTGATGTACAATAATTGCTGTCTTCCTGCAGTCCTACTTTTGATCTGTGTTTAAGCAATACACGTGGTATCTTTCCCCAAAAGACATTTCATTTAAACTTAATTTTCTATTTCAGGTTCATGTGAACTTTGTTTTTCCATTACTGTTATTAGAAATGGTATCTATGATTTTTTTTAATATTTTGCTTTGAAGGATGGGAAAGCCTCCTGGAGCTGAGGACAAAGGAATGCTGTCCTGCTTTCACTGAGCTCTATTGTTTTAAATGTCACCCCAGAAATATGGGGCACATTTTCTGGTAGATAAGCAATGAGTACTCCGTCTATTCCACTTCCCTTGCCACCCTATTTTTCATTATTTAAGCTTTTAAACTTATATGGTTTTAAGGTCAACAAAGAAAGCTTTGTACTGTGCCAGCTTTGGTGGAATGGAAAAAAATTATTCATGTTACTGTAGAAGAAATGACTATTCAAACAATAAGCAGATGAAAAGTAAATCCTCAGTATTGCAGTTCTAGGTTACACAATCCTTTCTGAGACTCCAGACGTACAGACCGTGTTTTACTTTCTGCACTGGGAAGGTAGCTCAGAACTATCTGCTCTTAGAACTGTGCCCTGGGCTGCATTTTCTTGGCTGCTGAATGCATGTACAGATCCAATTAGCTTGACACGCACAAAAATTTCCCTAGTGAAAATCTGAGCACTGATAATACACAGTATCACAGCACTGGCTTCCTAAAAGAGAGCATTTAAAAAGTTCACAAACTCTCAGAAGTAAAGTTAAAACACTGGAGAGATCTGTAAGTGTGTGATCTTATCTGCACTTTTTTTCTTTTCTCAAATCCCAGGGCAAAAATACCACTTTTCTAATGCTGCTCACCTTGGCTACCACTGCTCTGAACCATCAAAAAACATGCTGATTTTTTTTTTTTTTTGTCATCTTTCATGTTAAGCTGTCCTTCTTTACTCTCCCATTCTTTCCCAATTCTGTTACATATCAAAGAGCTGGAGGCTGACCTTCATAGTTGCTAGAGTGAATCAGACTTTCAAAGGCGAAATCAATCTGATCGGCCTGACTTGACCCTAAATAAGGTATTTAGGTGATGAGT